AATTTGTGGCAATTCTTAAATATGAATCCTTGGCAAAGGTTTCAAATGGTAAGGATAAGAATTCTCAAGTTTTCTATCATAGGAATGTTTGTTTCAAATTTTGAGATCAATTTCTCTTTGTACATTTCCCTCATTCCCACTCATCCATTATTTTCCTTTCAATCACCTCCCTCACTTCTCAACCCTTACTTTTTCTCAACCCTCGATTTTCTCTATGGGGTTCAAACATTGAATTCAAGTTCACTAACAGTGCAACTCATGGAAGTATAAAAATCAAGAACTAAAGGACCATGAATTAAAACATGAAGAACAAAGATTCAAATTGCAATATGAAGGGAGTTTGGAAAATGCAAGTAAAGACTAACAAGATAGACACATTTCATTCCAAAATGATAGCAATAGGGAAAAAAAACTCCATTGCTCACTTATTTAAGCCCTCATCAATAACAGTTCTAAGATCAACCTTGTTTGAGTGGAACTGTAAGCATCGGTCCCTTCAATATTAAAAGCTGTCTAGGAGTTGATGAAACTTGATTGGTGAGAGTAACTGCAGCCACCTCTTGAACTTCGTCAAAATCCTTCTCGATCATATTGACTGTTGAACTATCATGTGTTGGTAGGGGGTTTTTAGCGATATTCAGACCAACAACCTTTGGTTCTGATGCAATCTGTAACTCCTCTGCATCTATCAGATCTTGGATACGGTGCTTTAAAGCAAGACAATTTTCAAGGTCATGTCCAACACCTCCACTATGGTATTCACATCTTGCTTGTGGGTTATACCATGTTGGAAATGGTGGATTTAATGGCACCATAGGTACGGGTGTAACAAGACCAGCTGCTACCAATTGTTGAAACACTTCAGTGTATGACAAAGGAAGTTTGTTGAAATGTTGTCTCACTCTTTCTTGTTGTAGACGATTGATCCCATAGGCATAGAGTGGCCTTGGCTGACTTGTAAAAATTGGTGGTTGATAAGAAGTTGGAGCTTGGAAAGAATTATTGAATTGCCCTCGAGGGCGCGGCTGATTATTTCTCCCATACGTCTCATAAACTGAGCTAACGGTGCCAGTGTCATTTTCCTTGTTTTGATTTTGTCCCACTTTCTTCGAACTAGAAACCCCTAAACTACCATTTTGGTATTGTTCAAGGATACTCTTCATTGCTTGATAATCCATGATAATTCCAGACTTGATTCCATCCTCCACTTGTTCTCCCACAATAACCAACTGGGCAAAAGTGTAATTCACACAAGTTATTAACTTCTCACGATAAGGTCCTTTGGTCGACTTGATGAATAAATTACTTAATTCATGATCAGTCAGTGGAGGTTGAACTCGAGCAGCCAATCCACGCCATCTCTGAGCAAATTCCTTAAAGTTCTCACTTCGTTTCTTTTCTGCCCTTTGAAGATCCTCCCTACTAGGAGCTAATGATGTATTGTATTCATACTGCTTCATAAAATTGCAAGTCAAATCATGCCAACTTTTGACCTTACTTTTGTCTATAGTAGAGAACCAAGCATCTGCAGGACCTGTCAGACTGTCCTGAAAGTAATGTATCATTAGCTTCTCATCATTGGCATAAGGAGCCATCTTCCTACAATACATTGTTAAGTGGGCATAAGGACAACCAGTGCCATTGTACTTATCAAACTCAGGCAATTTAAACTTATGGGGCAGTTGAATGTTTGGGAAAAAGCACAAAGATGAGATGTCAACCGGTTTATTGGTTTGGACACCTTGCATC